AGAATTTTCTTAGACTTGCCCCTATTAACCTTTTTTATTTATTTATTTGTGACCTAAACAGTTCTCATAGCCACTGTACTGCTCAAAAGATTTGAAAGAGACTAAAGATAATGTTGAAAATGAAAATATCTTCACATTTTCCTTTTTTTTTTTTTAAGTTTAGGATAACATGTATAGCTCAGATTGTATTTAATTAAGGGTGATCAGGGTTACTGAGGATATTATAATTTTTCATAATTGAAGCACAATTACAACAATAAAACAAACAAAAACAATAAATAAAAGTACAATACCATTTCAAAGGTCAGACAAACAACAAGCAATTGGGTAAATATAGATGGGTATGTGTATACAAGCATAAATATAAGTATAAATAGGCAGATGCATCGCTAAAAACCACACAACTTAATAATCATCTCTAAAATACGTTTCTGCTCCACCACAGCAAAATACTGTGATTGTTCATGATGTTTAATATTAATGCTTTTTTCAGTTAGTCTGAAAAATACAGACTTGGATTATGACTGGATTTTGGATTAAATGGAAAATGTGATATTTTTATATTATTGACATGACATATTTCACAAATACCTTACATTCCTGACAAAGACTTTTTACCATTAAAATGCATTGTGTTTTTAGACTGAAGGGGAAGCAGCTGCATCTTGGTGAGGAATATTATAGCATTGCTGCCTTATCAATAAAAGTGAATCATTAATGGCTTTGACTACACGTTAACCCTGTCATGTGCCTCTATAGCAATTGTTCAGATCTGCACAAGGAGACATTTTTGCCCATGTGTTGGTTTTCTGTACTGGATATTTGCTGCTGCTGCTGTACACACTACAATAGACTTACAGGACAAGACATAAAGACAGAAACAAATAATGGTGAATAAATGCTGATTTCTGATCCAACAGTCTGGCTGTGAAATCTCACTCTCTTTTATTTGCTTATATAGGTAAACATGAAGGTAGTCAAACATTGCATGTTTTATGTGGATTTTATGTGATACAATACAGATTTGTACTGACTTACCTTGACCTATTTTAATACAAAAGAATTCTCTATAGCTAAGACTTGCAGGTCAGTGCATGAATGACTCTGGTTTTACTGCTCTTACCTGTGACACTTTTTTCAAGTCTTAGCATGCATGCCTCTATTACTTCTATCTGTTTTGAATACAAGTAATGTCTTGAATTTGCAATTTTGAACCTATACCTTGTGGCTGAACCCCAGGCTTGTGGTTGTGTGTGTTTGCATATTCAAGGCCCATTAAGAGTTTGAGAGTGTGTCTGTGTACTTTGCTTATTTGCAGTAGCTCCTCCATTTTCTGCACAGGCCCTGGGAATCTTTCCAATTGGCTTTAACCCAGAGCAGCCCAAGCCCCTGACCTTACGATCACAATACCATGGGAACACCAGTGAGAAAGAGAGGTGGGAGTAGGAGGAAAGGAGTATGGAAGGAAAAGGGTTGAGGGAAGGTGAACAAGGGCCAAGATTAAGGAAAAGAGAGTGAAGATTTGCAGAAGAGCAGATATATTTGGTATCAAAAAGGAGACCATGGTTCACAATCAGCAAATTATTTATTGTTGCACTTTTATAAATATTTTGTTAAAGATCAAGAGGGTGAGGCTCCTACAATCAACTCAGACAAAAGGAGATCATCATAACCAGCTGATCTGCATTCTGATAGTGATGGTTATAAATCCTAAAATAAATAATCGTTTAACAGCACACTGTAAAAAATGACCGTGAATTTAACGGTAAAAGACTGTAAAAATGCTACCGTAAAATCCTGTTAAACGGTTAACGGTAATTCCCCTACTATATATGGTGAAAAACTGTATTAGATATTACATGTATTGGACATAAATTGTACGGTAGTATACCGTTTTTGGAAGTGAAAAAGACTATAATTTATGTTGGTGTTTGGTGTTTGTGTGAATGACACTGTGCACCTTCTATATATGTTATTATTTAAAAGCTGCTTGTGATGGGCTTTTGTTCATCATGGGACTTTCTCATCACCGCCTGCATTGGGTGGTTATCAGTGTATTACAAGGTACAAAACAGATTTCAGTACTTCAATAAGGTTGGTATATTAACATTATATCAGTTAATGAAATTACGGTATTTAACTGTAAATTTAAGTTAAAACCGTAAAACCTAAAACGTTGCTACCGTATTTTTTACGGTAAAATTCCGGCAACCACAGCTGCCGTTTTTTTACCGTAAATTTTACGGATTTTTTTTTACAGTGCATAGTACTGGTTTAGCTGGCTCCTGTTTTCATGTAATAATTTCTGGGCAATCCTCTGTTTTGTTTGTGAGCCATGCTGTCCCTATAGCAAATCCATATTTAAAGAGATACTTCACCCAAAAAGGAAAACTCTGTCATAATTTACTCACCCTCATTTTGTTCCAAAACAGTATGACTTTCTTTCTTCTGTTGAACACAAAAGAAGATAGTTTGAGAAATATTTCATTCTTTCCCTTTTCCAGACAATAAAATTTAGTGTGGGCTTTGGATCCTATGATCCAACTGACTTTCATTGTATGGACAAAAACAGTTCTTCGAAGACATCCCATCTAATAAAATATGTTCCAAGAACATTTTGTTAATGTTTCAATTAAGTTATGGAAACGTTATTTCTGAATGTTCTTTAAACATTCAAAATGTTCAGTTTTAAAAACGTTTTCCTTGGTTATGCAAAAATTAGCGAAAAAGTTTAATGAACATAATTCTCTTGCAAAGTGATATGGGAATGTTTTATGAATTATGTATATGTAATATTTTTGTGCTAACGTTTTGAGAATGTTATTAAAGTCTTTAAACAAACATTCTGTTAATGTTACTGGAAGAATGTTTGTTTGTAACTTTTAAAGAACCTTGCCAGAATGTTCTGAGAACGTTCCCTGGTAGCTGGGATAATGGTGAGTAAATGATGACAGAATGTTCACTTTTAGGTTAACTATCCTTTGATCAGACCTAAAATGATCAGACCTAATCAGTGTTTCTAGACTCAAGTGCCAGTAGAAACTGTTCTGTTGACTTTTGCTTAGCCTGTTCCTGAAGCTTGCATTAAAAATATAAATTAATCACGGCTGAACCTTAAAATGAATAGTTTTCAATGTACAAGGTGTGTGTACGTACATCTTCATGTGTGTGTGATCTCTCTGTCTTAGGGAAATACGGCCCTTATATCACAGACTTGCTCTAATGTGTTCCTTTCTCCATCCTCACTCCCATACTAACAGAATGTAACAGATAATAACCACCCAGGCAGTATCTGAAAACACACACGCATATACAAACATTTCCATGGAATATGCTGAAAGTGCTTTGAGGAAGGGAGGACACCGAAAAGTATTCACCATGTGCTCTACTACTTCAGTGCAGCTTTTGTGAGCGTGTCAAAGGTTGCTCTGTGTGTGGCTACTATTCACAACCTGTCAGTTAGACATAGAATTGAGAAAGAAAGGAGGGAAAGCAAAAGAAAAAGGAGAGAATAGATGAAGAGGTTTGGAGACGCTGAATAAAAAGTTGTTTGTTTTGTGATAGCCTATATCGTTTTAGGAAAAGTCAATATAAAAATGGCCTACAAGAGAAACCTGCATGAATATAGTGTCCCCTTACAAAAAGAATAAAGAAAGAAAGAAAGAAAGAAAAAAAAGAATGCAGTGCTTGAACCTTGTGTCTGGGTTCAGCTGAGAACAATTTCCACAACATGACATTAAATTAGGCGTAATCATATTGTATTTTTGATAGCCTTTTCTATATGTTCTGCAGACCTTTTCAGCACTCTAAACAAAAACTGAAGCCAGCTGCTGAGGCCCCAGACCAGCATCAGAGAACCAGATAATATCCATTACAAGAGGAAGAAGGGGTCGAGATTTCCTAGAATAGGTGATTTCTGGCTCTTCTTGTGTTTTGTACCTCACAATCACAAATGTGATTTAAATTTAATTAATTTATCCTTATATTCAAACGGAACTCATCGCTGACGTCCTTTTTTGACTCTGACCATTGAGCAAAAAAGCTGCTGAGACCTCATAGTTTTGTCAGATTAACCACTAGCGCCACCTCGTGTCCATTCGTGAACAGTACAACATTAGGAGTTTATAATTTAACGGGATTTGTTTTGACTGTTTGTTTGTTTTTTACTTAATTTTGCCTGTTTACGAGTGAGTGTTTAATATAAAAAAATATAACATCTTTCTGGAAGCTGGTTTTTTTTTTTTTTTTCGAATTTGGTCTGTAAAATGTCAAATATAGTTCAATCAAAAGTAGTCCATATGACTCGTGCACATATTACAAGTCTTCTGAAAGCATATTTGTGTGATAAATAGACGGAAATTGCATTCGTTATTTATGGCTATGAACGAGTCATTGTTTTGAGTTGGATCTTGTCAATTAATTGTTCTGATCTAGTTCACAAAACCCACATGAATGTTTTGTTCGGACACGAATCGAACTGTTGTGCTTAACCTAACTCACTGACTCGATTTCCCAGTAGCCCCTCACTGCAGGGGCGGGGTTGGATCCACATCTAGGGGGTGGAGATGGTAGGTTTAGGGGTGGAGACGGGTAGGTTTAGGTATATGTAAGGTAGGAGGAGTTGGATCTGGATCCAACCTCGCCCCCTGGATCTTGTGTTCTGCAGTGAGGACCATCTAAGGGGGAATGAACAATGATTAATGATTTAAACTTAAATCTAAAAAAAAAGAAACGCTTCAGAAGATGTATCTTATAGCGCACGAAACTGTTTGAACCAGGCACTGTAAAAAAAAACAAAAAAACATTTATTATACTTTTTGCGTCTTTTTGGCTTTAATAGCAGCCAGTGCAGTATTTCAACTTTCTCTTTTTGTGCTCCACAAAAGTCGTACGGTTTTAGAAAGACAACAAATCTCTTCTGTTCAATGCATTGTGCTGCATCTATATTTGACCACGAAAAGCCTGGCCTTCACGCTCCCGCCTCCTGAACGCCTTTGACCCGCGGGCCGCGACCTTCCTCTGAGGTCCTTCCTTTTGCGCAGGCGCTGTGAGCACAGTAGAGCCAAGATGGCGGCGGTGGTGGAGAATGTTGTCAAGCTGTGAGTATTTTTCATCCTTATTTGACTACATATGATATTTCCATGTTGAACTTTGACATGTAACTTTGAAGTAATAATACAACGTGTTGGACTTTTGTATAAATTGCTTAAAGAGAGGTAAAGACACGTGTTTGACAAGGTTATCCGAGCTCTGGTTAAGTTAGCTGTACTAGCAGCTGCCGTGTCCCGCTGGTGTGAATGCTTCATTTAGCTTCCGTCTTTCAGCATGATCAAGGAGCAAAGCATGCAGGAGGCTTTTCTGTTCTTCTGATGAGTGTGTTTATATCAGTGGTATTATAAAGTATCGCAGGAACCATTTTAAGGTGCTCAAATGTTTGTCAGTGCTTTTGTTGCTTGGTTATTCTGGTCAGTTCAGTTGTGGAAGCAGCAGCTGTCAGTTTTATTGGATTGCAGTTTTATCATGTGTGAACACGAGAGACTCATATCACATATCCTGAAGCCGGTTACATTTATCTGACGCTTGTTTTCATGTTATTAACTAAATAGTTTGCCTGAAAGTTATTTCCATTTATAACCAATGAGACGCATACGATCATCTGATTATATTAACTTGCCTAGTTCTTTATCTGTTTTTGCTACATCACACTGTCCTGAAACCAGGAAGTACTTCTGATGCAAATTGGGCTGTTAAATGCATGTGTGCTTTTATTTAAATCACAGAATTAGCTGTTCAATTAGGAGCTTTTAGAGGAGGGGCAGTAAAATGGTGAGTTATTACCCTCAGACAGTTTCTGTCCTGAGTTTGACAGCCTTGGTATCTCCTGGAAGCACTGTTCCTTATTCAGCCCACGGTTTTTTTCAGGACTGATGAGTTGAGGACACTAGCCAAATCCGCAACATTCAGAGAAGAGAACGGAAAAGAGGATTTGCACTAGGCCTGTCACAATAACAACTTTTTGTTGTGCGATATATTGTCCCAGAAATAATTGCGATAAGCGATATTATTGTCATTTTAAAGACCATTTTATGCCACTGAATATATATTCATAATGTAACAGCATAATAATGCAAGAAGGCCTTCACACTTCCAAATGACAACAAATTTTTAATTTTTAAGAATATTTAGATCATGGAAATTAAGTATCAAAATATTAGATACCTTAAAAAACTTGAATAAATAGTAAATAAACATTTTCTAACAAAAAGTGCAAAGTAACAAGTAATAATAATAATAATAATTTATGCATTTAGCATATTTTTTAAGTAGAAAAAAAGAAAAATGCACAAAGAACTTGTATGGAGATTTTTCCATCTACAGATTTTTTTCCTGACCTTCTTTTCTCTGTAAATTAAGGGTGCACACTATTGCTGAAAAACAATCACTACTTAGCAGTCAGATGTCCGTATGCATGTTTGTAGAAGCATTTTTTAAATTTGAACTAGCACCTCATGACTACACCACGTTATGTACGAGAAGCTGCAAAAGACACAGACGCAAGTGGAACGTACAAAACGTGGTGGCATTAATTTTTAAGTAAATATAATGGGTGATATATTGCGTCACCAAAAATGATTGAAGTCATGTACATATATTGTGCGATAAGTCGATATATTGATTATTGCGACAGGCCTAATTTGCACATCAAAAAAATCAAGAATTTGTTCTTTGTCACCATAAGGGTTCAAGTCTATTAAATGAATCTATCAAGCAGTTTCAGTGAAATTGTCTGTCATTGGAACTAATAAAATACCATCCGGTCACATACTTTAACATCTTACACAATTTGTAGCATTAATTTTGCAGTATCAAACACCCATTTTTAACATCTGTCTTGGTGATGCGATCTTAAGTGGTCAAGTGAGATGGGTTTCTGTTTCCACCTAGTTTAATAGGTGTCTCCTGTGACCACTAGTGATGTGATATATATTTCTAGGGTCATTTCTTTTTTTCTTAAACCAGTCAAGCGCAACCCCCACTCTCAAGTTGATTTTATTGGTCAACTCAATCACGCAGTCACCTGTAAATAAAAGTTCAGAAATTGCATTGGGTGGATGCTATCTATCAGGCACTGTTATTTTAGTATTATTCATATATTAGTTGATTATTATTTAATATTTTGAATTGACTTTTTAATGTTATATATTTTACTTGTAGTTTCAGTCATTGTTATGTGCTTTTTGTCACATTGTTTTCATTAGTTTTTGTTTTATTTTTTTAATATTTCTCTTTAGCTTCAATTTATTTTTGTTTCAGTTATTTTAGTAGGGCTGGGACAATAAATCGATGCATCGCGATTCGTGGATCAATTCTGAGATTTTTGGAATGCATCGTGATTCTCTCTCTAATCGATTCTGAGCTTAGTTTTTAACAGCAGATGGCGCTCTAGGCTAGTTTTTAACCGCACACTCAAACGCTCACGAAGAAGAGCGCTTGTGCGTTCGGCTGAGTAATGTAAGTGGTTAAATGTACTTGCACATCGGCTTTTATGATGTAAGATTAATGTAAACACAGCCCACTGTGAACATCCTTGTAATTCGCTTCAACCTTTTCGAACTTTATGAATGATTATTTTAGGTTCAAATGGTGCCTGTGTAAGGAACTTCACACCGCATGCGCTTTTGTACTGTTGACAAAGATGCGACGCGGGCAGTGGAATAGGAAAAACATGCAAGAAGATGGGAGTGAACTTCTTTAACTTGAGCGCTGCATTTTTAGAATGCCGTTTCATGCATGAGATGCTGCAAGAGATGCGAGTGCAACAGTCAAACACGTCCATGTTCACATAGAAAAAAACATGGAAAAGTAACGTAGCGCAAGCGAATAAAAAAAACAACAACTGTAAATGCTAACGTTACTGTATGTCTGATATTTCATGTTTGCATCATGGTGACAGGCTGAAAGCTGCTGTTGTTTTTATAGAACATATAGTTAATAATAGTTTACTGGTTATACCTTCAGTCATTTTGAATTTAAATTACTTTCACTTTTGAGATATTCTTAAAGCACTTTCCTCGTATTATTTCTCAACATATAATATGTATAAGACAAGTTTGTACAAGATGTAGTTGAATTTCATGCATCTTTTCTGCAAAGATACTTAACAAGTGATTTGTTTAACATTTACATCATGTTGACAACATGTGTGGTGCACTTGGAATAGAATTTTCTTTAAATAAGAGTGTTAATAAAGAAAAAGTTACTTGAATCATGTTGTAGTTGCATTTTCAAGTTGACTAATTAAAAATCATAAAAAAATCGAGAATTGGTCAAACATTATGAAAAAATCAAGATTTAAAATGTTTGCCAAATCGCCCAGCCCTAGCTCAGAATCGATTCAAGAGAGAATCGCGATGCCTTCGGAAAATCTCAGAATAGATGCAGAATAATTTCTTGATTCGCAATGCATCGATTTATTGTCCCAGCCCTAGATTTTAGTACTTAAACTTCAACTTAATTTATTTTAGTTAGTTGCCAAGGCCAACACCTCTCATTTTTGTTATGCATTACATATATTTTTTCATCTGTTTAAATTTCAGTACTATCTCAATTAATAAAAACTGTTTTAAGTTTTAGACTGTTTTAGTCAACCATAACAATGCTGCTAACAGGATGTGCTACCAGTGCTATACTAAGATTAAAGTGCCCCTATTATGCCATTTTTAACATTCCTAATATTGTTTTGGGAGTCTCCTACAATAGGTTTACATGCATGCAAGGTCAAACAAGGCTTTCACTTTCTCAAAATATGCATTTAGTATCACCTCATTTTCCAGCGATTCTCAAACGATGTGTTCAAAGCAGTTCTAAGGTTCAGTCTCTCTAAACCCCTCCTTTCCGTGAGCCTACTCTGCTCTGATTGGGCAGATAGCACAGTCTGTTGTGATTGGTCTACCGCGTACAGTGCGTGTCGGAAACAATATGCCCATTGTCATAGTTCTGTATTTTAAATGCTCTATAGAAAATATAAACATCTATTATTTATCATACTTACAAGTTGTGATTCAGTAGAGCTAGCTGGTCCAAATAAACTGGGTTCTGAGCCATCTTTCAAGAGCAAGCGTTTTGTGAATCCCGCATTGAACTCACAGAGCTTAGAGAAGCAGTCGTCAGTAAAATGACGTGTTTGAGGGCGGGTCAATTAGGTGACCATTATGCAAATGTGTTATCCCGTGATGTGTAGTCGTCACGGAAGTATGTTTTGAATTACTGACGACTCGTTCAGGCTGTTCAAAGTCGATTCTTTCTTTTGTGAGACAATAACTTTATTTATCGTGCACTTTCGACTTTACAACTTTGCAGATTGTTTGAATTCACATACAGCTACATTACACTCTGCATGAAAGGCAATATTCAAAATGGCATAATAGGGGCACTTTAAGGTGTAGGGTTACTATTCATGTTAGCATTGTGTAGGTAATCAGTGCTGTGACTGGCTCTGTTTATACCTGGTGTTAAAGGGGTTATGAACTGCCTTTTTTATTATTTAGTGCTGTTCTCTGAGGGCCACTTCTAATGTTATCAAGATTTTTACATCAAAAAACATACTTTAGAAGTAATAGGCTATTTTCTGTCCTGTTTTGACTAGGGCTGGGTATCGATTCAGATGTCTCGATTCGATTTCGTTTCGCAAGCTTTCGATTCGATTCGATTCTTGATTTTTTTGATTACATTCAGTGAATATAGTTTTAATACAAATGCTATTGATATTTCTAAAAAATGAACAGTAAACATCAGTTTACAAATGGTGAATTAATAAAAAGAAATTAAGAACCACATGCCTGTATTTTAAACCTATTCTTTTTTTTTTGTATAGGGTCTTTTTTAAACAATAGTAGGGCCCTATAAAATGTTCTTAATTTTTCTGGTAATCAGATGAAGGCATAAAACATTAATTTAATTTATCCTAATCAAATGAAAATTAAACCCTTTTATTTTTTGGCAAACAAAGTGCTGCACAACAGAGGTTTACTGTTAAAATTAAAAAGAAAACAGATAAACCATCATTCTTTAGAAGTAATTGGCTATTTTCTGTCCTGTTTTGACCCCCTCATCTGAACGCTCTGTTTGAATAGGTGTGGCAGATTGTGTGGAGCTCAGATGTAAACACCCACTGCTAAGAATGGCTACCAGTTGTATAGGTTTGACAGCCTACATCCTTCACAGATGGACGCTGCTGTGATTTTAGGTTAAAAACTAAACCGACAGTGATGTAGAAGCAGGCGCTGATTTTCCTCTGCAGAGGTGGGGTTTAGCCACACTGTTACGTCATAAAGTGGCACATTCCACAACCTGTTATTTTGGCAGATTGACTTCAGTATAAGCTGTGTTTAGACTAACAAGAAAGTTTGAGTTCTGTAACTTGCAGGATGTTTTTGTAGTACAACCAACTAGGGGTGTGCGATATATATCGTCTGCGATAATATCGTAATTGTTGTTTTAACGATGTGCGATTTGATATTATCGAGTATTTTGCAAAAACCATTCAAAACATCCCTACAGAGCGCACGCATACATTACGTGAAGCCTAGGCTAGTGCGTGTGCGCATTTAGTGTTTTCTTTCACTGCATGATTCAGTCTATTAAAATGCATTTAGAATGATCACAAATTCAAGACATGATGGCAGAAAATTTATATATTTATACCACTTCATATAGTTATTCAATTTCACACGAAGAGTGCCGTTTTTCTCCAAAAAATACCATGATTACAAATGTAACATTGAATTCAATAAACAATAAGTTAATTAAGAGACTTACGTTTTAGACACCATATTGCTTGTTTTTGCTCTATTTCGCCAACAAAAATCATTCTGAATACAGCCACAGCGCTGTTTTGTGTCTCTGAGCAACATCAGTATTCAACGTTTTATGTTTAATGTATCAAAACATTATTTATGCATTTGTAATTGCAGGTTAAATGCATTCATGTCTTGCATTGTGAGACACAAAATACATGTGTGTAAATACATCTAAATGCCACTTCAGATGCAGCTTCTGTGTTGATTTCATTTGCTTGGTAACAGCCCAAATGTCTTATTATTCTAATTCCCTGATTAAATGTAAGAATTTGACTCAAAAGATAATGGACACTTTTAGAAAAAAATGGCTTTATAAAGGTAAAAATGCCCATAAAATGCAAAAATCAGTTTAAACTTATTGGAAAAGATTAATTTCTATCAGTATGAACTGACCACCACACAGAATATGAAGAATATTAAAAACATTAGGAGTCAGCTGTCTTCGGCAGTCCTTAAGATACCAGCACAATAACACACTCAGCAAAATATCGTCTAATTATCGTTATCGATAAAATCCCAGAAAATATCGAGATATAATTTTTTGTCAATATCGCACACCCCTACAACCAACCTCTTATATGTCAAAAGATCAAGGGAATTTTGATTTCTCAGTTCATGTCCCCTTTAAGATCTTCCACAGCTGAAAGTAAATAAAAAAAAGCACATGCACATTCACAGCATTCATGGCTGTTTACGGTTGTGCATTTGTAGTCATTTTACAACGTGGCTCATCTGATACGGAATTAGTCTTAATGTTTGACAGGTGAATAGGTGTCCGGGTGCATTAGTGTTTACACCAATTCAGTGTGGTCACATTTCTAACTACCTCTGAATATGGTTTGAAACAGGACCCCATTTACACCTGGATTTAGAGCGGTCCATAAAGTGGATCTTAATAGCAGGTGTTCATATGGTCAGAGTGTCTGGTTTGTGGAATGTGCTTTCCCTTTGAGCAAGAGTCTTTTGACGCTGCAGCTCGGTGTCTTTTGGCGTCTTGGAGGCGGACGATCATCCCAGAGATGTTTTGTTGTCTGGGCTTTAAACCCCTCAGAGCTCTTGGTTCTAACACAGCAAAGCTTTAAGCTTTTGTTTCATCCTCTGTGACATCAACGCCCTTCTGTGCTCTAATCTCATGGGCTTTAGCTAGCCTGTGCTCTCTCCGGGCCTCTTAGTGGTTGCCGGGGTGATGGGCGGCAGCGGCACCTGCTAAGTGGCTGGAGTGAGAGAGTTACAATGACTGAGCTGCATGCCTGCAAGACCTCCTGCTGCATACAAACACACACGGGTGGCTAAACTGAACAGGGTTGAGCTAGTTTCAGGGAGGCAGTGGTAGGGTTTGTGCTACCACAAACACTATCGCTTGTCACTGACAAAAATGGCTTCTCTAGACTCTGTGTGAGTTTCAGAAAGCTCCTCTTGTAGAACTGGGATTTGATTCAGGCTGTTGCATTTATTGTAGGCCTTGTTTCTCTGTCTGTAGGCTGGGTGAGCAGTATTACAGGGATGCTATGGAGCAGTGTCACAACTATAATGCCCGTTTGTGCGCAGAGAGGAGCGTGAGGATGCCCTTCCTCGACTCTCAGACAGGTGTCGCCCAGAGCAACTGCTACTTCTGGATGGAGAAACGGCACAGAGGACCAGGTGGGACACACTCACTCAATCACAGTAATCTGTTTACAGAACTGAAGTGGGGTTTTTTTTAAGCGTTGAGTTGACACCAAAATTTGTTCAAACCATTACAATTGTTGTCAAAATATCAAAATTAGTTGATACCAATACAAGTTAATTATTAAATAAAATTATATTTTTTTTATAGAATTTTAATTATAACATTTAACTATATATTATTTTCATATGCATATATCTAAATACACGACTGCAGGTAAGTTTCTTCAAGCATCTTGGAGTTGCCACAGTTCTTCTACATTTAGTCTGTCTCAGTTTCTTCTGTTTCTTCAATTAATCCCAGACGGACTCGATAATGGTGAGATCAGATCTCTGTGTGGAGCACTGGCTGTTGTCAGACTCTCTGTGTAAACAAAAATCTCACTGGATTATTACAATTAATGGCAAAAGGAATGTTTGGAAATGTAAACTGATAATTCCTACTGACACACTACAGCAAAAGATAGAAATAACTGGCTTAAAACCATTTTCTTGTTGTTGGTGAAAATACTAGTGGCCAAAGACTTTTGCACAGTAGTGTCTATTAACATGAATTTATGTAAATAAAATATTTCAAGTAAACAGAGTTTATATAATTATACAACAATATAATTAATATCTCTATATCTTTTATCTATCTACATCTACTAATAATGTTATACACACACACACACACACACACATAAATCATTATAATTATTTCTCAAATAAGTAAATAATAAATTGGATTTACATTTTTTACAGTGTTTTTATGCCTTCCCTTATTTTCACATAAAGGCCTTTCCACACTGAGCGTGATGCGAAAATGCGAGGCGAATCGCCGACGAATGGTGCTTTTACACTGAGTGTGAAACGATTGATCGCCCTCTGCTAATTCATGCCTACACGCATACTTGTAGCATTTTATTGCTACAAGTTTGATTGCATCATATAATAATTGCTGTTAATGGTGTTCATCGTCTGTTTGATTACGTCTTTAATTGATTTTTCTGCCGCGAATAATCGCGCCTGGTGTGAATAGCCCCATAGGGATCTATTGTTTTGATTCAGAATTTAAAAGCGTTTTATTTAAAAGCGTTATCGTGCCGAATTTTCACGTTCAGTGTGAAAAGGCCTTAAGACATGACTTACTGTATGTATCTTTTTCATGCCTCTCTCCCCAAAGGTGTTGCCCCAGGTCAGTTGTACACATATCCCGCACGACGCTGGAGAAAGAAGAGGAGAGCTAACCCTCCAGAGGACCCTCGTCTAGCCATCCCATCTCTAAAGCCCGGTACACAGCCACTCACATCCTTGGTCTAATCAAAGTAAAGATATGTTATTTGAGGCTGTTTTTATGTAATTCCCTGTGTGTAGGCCATTCATAGATTTGTGTTTAAGTATTTATTTTTCATTTTCCTGTAATGAAGTTTTAATTTAAGTTATATGTTTTGATGACATTTCTATCCATCTCTGTGCAGTTGCCTATGGATGTGAATGTGCGTATGTATGTTTCAGAGCTGGATCTGGGGCTTAAGAAGGACGTTTTCTCCAGTGATGGCAGCAGCTTAGAGGCTCTTCTGAAGGGAGAGCCACTGGATAAAAGATCTGGATTGGAGCTCCGCACAGGGGAGGAGGAGCCCAGCTCTACAGAGTACTCTACCGGGGGACTAAACCCCAGCAGCAGGATCCGTAAAGTACTGAGAAAACAGCTTTTGATTTTGATTGGAGGTGTCACTGTTGTTGTTTTTTTTTTAAATCTCACCTTGCTTAGTTATTCTGTCTGATTGGTTTTCACCCTTTTGTGTGTAGAGAATTTTGGAGCCAGATGATTTTCTAGATGATCTGGACGATGAAGATTATGAAGAAGATACTCCAAAGAGACGGGGAAAAGGCAAGGGAAAGGTGAACTCTTGATCTTCTAAACTTGCATGCATGTACAAAGTATGTAAACATACCTAGGGTCCTATCATACACCAGGCGTGACGCAAGTGTTTTTTGCTAGTTTCAGCCCGACAGAGTTATCATTTTCACGTCCTGCGTCTCATTGTTTAAATAGCAAATGCATTTGTGCCCATGGGCGTGCTGGTCTGAAAACGAGGTGTGTTCAGGCGCATTGTTGGCATGTTGCTATTTTGAGGCAACTGAAATAGACTGCGCCATTGACCTACTGAAACCTGGTCTAAAGTCAATGGTGCATTTTTTTTGTTATTTAAAGAGCGCGTTAGTAATCTGCGCCTATAGGAGGGTGAACAACGCACGTACACTGCTTATTACACACACAGGGACACGCAGCAAAACACAAACTTGCCAAATATTAATAATGAAAGGATTACGATGTAAAAGATTATTATTGTGCCCTGAATATGGTCTGCTCACTCGCTGTAACCTCACGCACGAGCAGAACCTTTCCTCTCTGGAGAAGTGTTCAGTCTTTGCTCTTGCAAATTCTGCCATGTAAATAGCGAATCCGCCATGGCGCGAGCACAACCGTCTTTTAAAGGGAATGGGAGATGAGACTCTGATTGGTTTATTGCACGTTACTCCCAAAACACACATTACTCATTAAGAGAATAGGGACAACCCTTTTAGACCATGCGGCGGGCGCGCCAACCATTTTTCCCATCGCTAAAAGTGGATTCGTACACGCCCTAAGTGCACTTGCGCCATGCACTTTAGCCCATGCGCTTGAATCGTTAAAATATGGCCCCTAATTTGTGTTAGCAAAACACATCTAAAAGGATACATTTATGATGATATCGGTTTCACAGGGTCGTGGTGTCAGCAGTGCTAGGAAGAAGTTGGAAGCAGCAGCTGCTTTGGCGGATCAGGACAAACCGTACGCCTGTGACAGTGAGTCTCATACAGCATTCAAGGAAACCACATGACTCTCACCAGCTGACCTCTCTGTGATCTCATCTGGAGGTCGACTTCTCTTTGCTATAAAAAGGCGTAGCTATAGCTATACTGTAACACATCCGGTCACAATCAAAGATCTGTGTCACCCCTTCTCAGCATAGCTGGTCACGATGAGCTTCACCACATGAAAGCTTGCAAAAAGTACCAGACATTATCATTTGTGACCCTGGACCACAAAACCAGTCAATTTTCGAAATTGAGATTTATACATCATCTGAAAGCTGAATAACAATTTTCCCTGACTATCCAAAAGACTGCAAATGTGACATTGATTTATAACAGTTCAACAAAAAAGGCAATATTAAGTGTACATTTTACATTTTAAATGTAGCCTACATTTTAAACAAAATATTGTCAATCTTGTTTGTTATATTTTACAAAGAAATAATAGTTCCAACGAAATCGTTGGTGAATGAATCTGCAGCTTTGAATGATTCGGAGAGTACTGATAATCGGAACTGATTAATAACCCTTTCATAACTACAACCATTTGCTTCGTTACTGAATGAATGAATGCTTTGCCTTGCTCATTAGACAGTGACTTGCCGCCACCTACTGGCGGTTTTAGGTTTGAATCTACAAGTATAACTTCGTTTTGCCATCATTTATTGCTTTATTTATTATATTAATAATACACTTAATGAAATGTGAAGAATATGACATAAAACATGACATACAATTAATAAGGCTAGAAAAACTTTGCCTCTATAACAGTAAACATGCACATGTAAATAAATTTAAGGGGGCAAATATTGTCCCTTAATGGAAAAGGTGTAAATGCGGTCTAAGTGGGGGTAGTCAGAAGAATGTTAGGCTAAATGCCCTAGGGGTACGCCATTATAAAAGATTTGAGAACCACTGGCTTAATGGATTACTGCGTTGATTGCCTGTAGTGCGAGAGAACGCAAAAGTTTTGCGAGGGAACGCAAAAGTTCTGCGAGAGAACGCAAAAAATCTGACAATGATTTTTTTCCTCCACCATGTCCCTTTAGGGGCTCCGTAAAAAAGGTTCGAATTGTATTTCTGTGGTATCCTTGAACACAGTGTCTTAGACTGGTTTTGTGGTCCAGGGTCACATTTTTCCAGGTTTTCCTCATTTGACACGCAGAACTTGAATAATTTCTTAGTCAGCTCTTTATTGTCTACTCATGAAGGCACTTTAAAAAAAATAAAAGCATTCTCCTTTATACTGTATGCTGATTAAACTAGTAAGCTTAATTTTCTAAACCAGAGGACAGTTTCTACTTTCAGGTTTCATGTTGTGTTCATAGTTCTGGTCTGGATCTCTATTCTCAGCCTTTGTGTCTTTGCCCTTAAATGTGTCATGATACTGTGATGCAGATGTTCTTTATGAGTTTATTTCTCCTGATTCTTGTTGTCAGTCTGTGAGTCTTTCTGTCTTTCTTTCTCTCCTTTTCTTTCTCTTTTCTCTCTTTCAGACACTTTCAAACAAAAGCATATTTCAAAATCTTCCGAAAGAGGTATCTTTCTCTCTTTCCATCTAGTTCTCCTTTCCTCATTCTCTTTGTCTTTTTCTTCTCCTTCCCCACCTGCTCATGTCTTGGTTTCCCTCTTTCTCTTTATTCTGTGCGCATTGCAAACATGATTTGTGCCCCCTAAAAAAAGCTTTACTGCCTCTGGGCAATGTGAAATGTTCAGACACGTTCAAGCAGGTTGTTTGTGGCAGCATGGCTTAATATTACTTCCCAGACTGAGGTACTCTCATCGTGAACGGTTTGAAAATAACTTTATACTTACAACTGTCTGTTTCTAACAGTTTACTCTCATGCTTCATATGAATCCGTATCAGCAGGGACCTGGTGATAAAATATTGTTAGATTAGATTATTATTATTATTATTATTTTTTTTTTTAATAAGAGAAATCTCTTACGCTCACCAAGACTGCATTTATTTGATCAAAAAGACAGTAAAACAGTAACATTATTGCAAGTAATATTGTTACAATTAAAAAAAAAACTGTTTTCTATTTTAATATATTTTAAAATGTGATTTCTGATTCTTGAAATGAAAAGCTGAATTTTCAGCATCTATTACTCTAGTTTTCAGTGTCGCATGATCCTTCAGAAATCATTCTAGTATGCTGATTTGGTGCTCAAAGAAACATTTAATTTTATTATCAATGTTGATATCAACAATAGAGATCTTTTGTAATAATGTAAAAACCTTTACTGTCACATTTGTTCAGTTTAATGCATCCTTGTTGAATAGAAGTATTACTTTCTTTCAAAAAGAATATTACTGAACTCACTTTTGAACATTTGTGTATATCCATGTCTAGGTCCCAATACATCAATATTTCATTTTGTTTGTTTAGTATGTAGTTAATCAGCTGTGGTGCATTGCAATATTTTATTCATTCCACTTTCATCTGTATTAGGCTTCAGTGCTTTGTTCAATTATATTCTAAGCATGCAATTGATTCTACTGGACATTTCTCTTCCTCGTACACTTTCTCTGATTGGTGGTCAATCTCCTTTTTCACAAAAACATTTGTGAGAAACATTTATCTTAATTGGATATTCTTGTCATAGAATAATTACGATACTTTAAAATATAGCGTTTAAAGATATACATAGCAATTGTTTGGAATGTAAATTGCTTCTCTTTATCTCCCTCTATAATTCACCTTTCTTTGTGCTTCAATACCTGCTCTGTGTTGTCTCTCTGTAATGCTCTCGTTTCCCAGTTTTTTATTTTGCTGCTTGTAATACTCATCCTTCTCTTCACCTCCAGGTCGCTCCCTGTTTTTCTCATTCCTTTTTTTGATTAGAGTGAAATAGTGACTCTGCTTTTATGTTGCCAAAGGACTTATTACTCCTGTTTCCCGAATGTGTGATACTTATGGTATTAAAGTGCCCCTGTTATGCCATTTTGAATATTGCCTTTCATGCAGAGTGTAATGTAGCTGTATGTGAATGCAAACGATCTGCAAAGTTGTAAAGACGAAAGTGCACGATAAATAAAGTTATTGTTTCACAAAAGAAAGAATCGACTTTGAACAGCCTGAACGAGTCGTTAGTAACACATTTGCATAATGGCCGCCTATGTTCTACGTAGGCCGACCGCGAACAACTTGACCCGCCCTCAAACACGTCATTTCACTGACGACTGCTTCTCTAATCTCTGTGAGTTCAATGCGGGATTCACAAAACGCTTGCTCTTGAAAGATGGCGCAGTACCCAGTTTATTTGGACCAGCTAGCTCTACTGAATCACAACTTGTAAGTATGATAAATAATAGATGTTTATATTTTCTATCGAGTGTTTAAAATACAGAACTATGACAATGGGCATATTGTGTCCGACACGCACTGTACGCGGTAGACCAATCACAACAGACTGGACCAGCTGACCAATCAGAGCAGAGTAGGCTCACGGGAAGGAGGGGTTTAGAGACACTGAACCTTAGAACTGCTTTGAACAAATCATTTGAGAATCGCTGGAAAATGAGGTGATACTAAATGCATATTTTGAGAAAACGAAAGTGTTGTTTGACCTTGCATGCATGTAAACCTATTGTAGGAGACTCCCAAAACTCCAAAACTCCCAGAATGTTAAAAATGGCATAATAGGGGCACTTTAAAGGGATAGTTCACTCAAAAGTGAAAGTTGTGTCATCATGCACTTACTATCAAGTTCCGACCAAATAACTTTCTAGTGTCAAACTAAAGGAGTTATTTAACAATGACCAAGCTGCACTTGTTCATACAGTGAAATTGGCCAGCTATTGTTGGTCACTATTTGCTTTCACTATATTGAAAAAAGGGCGCTTGGTTCTATGCAAGGAAATAAGTCATACCATTTTGGAACGACATGGCTGATGTTCATTTTGTGGTGAACTATTGCTTTTATTTGAGTGGAACATATTGGGCGATCTTATTAGCAAGCATATTAACATTTGTCATGCTGTTGAAGAATGAGAATTAATGAGCATCAGGAGAGCCAGGAACGGTGGAATGACCTCTCATGCATGAGAGTGCTTTTAGTGTGAAGCAGCAGTGCCCCATGTGCTGAAGTACAGATCATGTTTCAGTGCATAATGACAATTACAGGTGCTTATAACTTGTCATTGTACTCTGTGTGTGTGTGTGTGTGTGTGTGTATGTGTATGTATGTGTATGTATGTGTATGTGTGTGTATGTGTGTGTATGTGTGTGTATGTGTGTGTATGTGTGTGTATGTGTGTGTATGTGTGTGTATGTGTGTGTATGTGTGTGTATGTGTGTGTATGTGTGTGTATGTATATATATATATATATATAATTTTTTTTTTATTTAGCAATGATGCATTAAATTGATTTTTAAAAAGTTACAGACAATGTAAAGACAATGTTTCAAAAGATTTAATTCAAGTTCCTTTGAATTAAAGAGTCCTGAAGAAAATCTATCAGGTTTTTTCAAAAACAATTAAGCAACTCCACTGTTTTTAACAGTAAAAATAAGAAATGTTTCTTGAGCACCAAATCAGCATGTTAGAATGATTTCCAAAAAAATCATGTGACACTGAAGACTGGAAAAATGACTTCTCAAGACTGGAGTAATGGCTGCAGAAAATTCAGCTTTGCCATCACAGTAATAAATTACATTTTAATTAAATAAATACATAATTAAAAAAAGAAAAAAAAGAAACTAGTTATTTTAAATTGTAATATTTCACAGTATTCTTGTCTTTACTGTATTCATGCAGCCTTTGGTGAGTAAAAAAAATCTTACCAACCCCAAAATTTTGAACAGTAACCTATGCTTATCGAAAGACATAGAATTGTCTTAAGGCTGGAATATACTACAAGATTTTTGCTCCGATTTACAGACTGGACAAGTTGATGCTAGTTTTACAAAGCTAGAGCCAGATTTGAGATTTCACAGAAAGTCACGTAGTGTATGATGATCGCAGACTTTTTAGCTTCAGACTGTGAATCGATCCAGTCGGAGGTTATTAAACATGTTTGATATTTTGAGCTGATTTTAGAACACATTGTTTTCATTTGTCATGTGTCTCCTAGCAAATAGGCATGTGTTTCTGCTTGAGTTTGTTGTGTTGTGTTGTGTTGTGTAATGTGTGATCCTCGGTAGTTTAGTGTGTGGTGTATGATGTATGATGCCAGTTTTTCCTCTAAGTATTTACAAATTCGGCAAGTTGTATGATGCCTAGCGTTTTTAAAATCTGTAAGATATTAAAAGTTGTGTAGTGTTTTCCAACCTTTATATACTGTATTGCTAAATCACTTTTGCATTTGTTTTGATTAAAAAGGTTCCATTTAAGAACAATATGAATAAGATATAAGTGTATTATAAGTGAATAACTGAAATATTTAATTCTTTACAGGAAGTTGGAGTTGTCATCTGTGTTTGGCCCTCTTGAAGGAGAAGGCCTCCATATACCAAAATCAGAATGCACCGCCGTCGTGATGGCCTTTTTGGAAAGACAGACCCTCTTTCACATAGTTCCCTCCAAGATTTGTTTGTTCAATTTAAGCAAACGAAACTTTTCAAACAGAAGTTGTAGTGGAACAGAAAAGGGACGACCACTTCGCCCAGGCCCGCAGACACAAATGGAGAGAGAGAAAGAGAAAGGGAGTGAGAAAAAGTGTGCCCTCCTCTTAATTCTTTCACATCTCAGCAGGTTTGATCTCTGTATGACTGTTACACAGTTCCAAGTTTCAAACTACCCCTGCTCTTTGTTTTCAACTATTAGCCCCCCACAACTAACACAGTACTTCCATACCAAATCCAGTCAGAAACACTCTTGACCCTTACAGCAGTACAGACATGGAGGAAGTCACTATGAGAAAATTATGACTCTGTTTTTGAGTTCCTGCTCATATTAGACCTGATATTTCCACCCGTTTCTGCAGACACTGTTTAACAGAAAATAAATAATAAACCACAGCTTATATCAGCCAAAATAAATATAGCATATTCAGCCATATCCAAAATACTCTGTACGGACACTATGCTTATCATGGAGAGAAATAGTTGAAACCAATCAGCATGCCAATGCTTGTTCATAATAAGCGGAATAGAAAAGAAACAATAATGTGTTTTTGTATATTTATATATTTGTATAGCATATAAAGGTGTGTTGTATTTAAGATCTTAAACAATAGAAATGGCTCATTATTATGATGGGAGTTGCTTGGGAATTTTTTTCATAATGATAGCATCTACATTTGCCACTGAAGCACAGAGTCTAGCAGTCAGTGTGTGAGCTCTTTACTAACTAATGGGTTAATGGTGCAGGTAAAGGTAGTGATTTTGAATGGTATTTTTATATTATTAATTTTTGTGCTTTTAGGTGTCATTAGGATGTTCAGAAATCGGTTAAAATTTAGTAAAAGATGAGGAATAGGATTGAAAGAGAGGACTAAA